TATATATATATATATATATATATATATATATATATATATGAGAAATATGAGTATGCTTGGTACCAAGCACAAAATTTGTGCTTGGTAGTGAGGTAGCACAATCCCCCCCACTCATTCAAATGGGGGACCACATTCACATGAGTTGAGGAGTGTATGAGGATATATAACAATTTAATAAGTAGAGGGGATTATGCCACCTTACTACCAAGCACTATTTTTTTTTGCTTGGTAACAAACATACCCATTTCTCTCTATATATATAAAGAAATCAACCAAACAGCCCCCAACTGGAATGAAGTGTGCTAGACAACCTAATTGCATTTTGAGGAGACAGCAAACACAAGTGTAACTTGTGATGTAGCCTTTGAAAACAATGTCAGGTCTTGGCCGCTACGTGATGTGTCTTGTATTGTACTAATCCTGGCTCAACAATTGTTACAAGACTGTGCTTTCACACATGCGTGTAATGCAACTACTTTGGATGTGCGTACACAAACACTTTTATAGCCATAGAGACGTCAATCAATCAGTTGCTATTATCAACAAAATTTCTATATATGTTTATATTCAGGCTAATTTCCTTACTTTTTTTGCGCTCACTGCTAAGAGGCTGTTTGGTTAGTTTCCTAAAAATCAAGAGAATGAAAAGGATACATGAAAATCAATAAAGTATTATTTTTATCAATTTCCATCCTTAAAACTCACCATAATATCTAATAAAATATTATTTTCATCCCACAACTCATCTCATATCATCTCCTAAAAATAAACTAAACACAAAAAATAAGTCACATCATCCAACTCATCTCATCTCTATCACATCTCATCTTTAAAAATCAATTACATCATCCAATAATATGGTGACAACTCATCTCATCTCATTAACATTTCATTTCCACCCGTTTCCTCCAAAAAAGCTAGTAAATCGATTTTCTTAAGTGTGAGTCACATTATCCAATAATATAATGACATCTCATCTCATCTCATCTATTTTCTTATTTTTATGAATGAACCAAACACAAGAAAAGAACCTATTATAGAAAATATGTTTCTTATAATTTATTTCTTTATTTTTTAGGGGTTGTTTGTTTGCCTAAAAAAAAGGAAAATCAAAGAAAAGGAAACATATTTCTAAGAAAATAGGTTTTGGAATTGTTTGGTTGGCTAGAAAAAGAAGGAAATCAAAGAAATGGAGATGAGATGAGATGAGTTGTCACCTTATTATAGGATGATGTGAGTGATTTTTTAAGAAAACTTATTTTGATGTTGTTTGGTTGGCGGAAGGAAATGAATTATAAGAAACCTATTTCTTGTAATAGGTTGTTTTCTTTTGTTTGGTTATTTCTTAAAAATAAGAAAATAGATGAGATGAGATGAGTTGTCATTATATTATTGGATGATGTGATCCACACTTAAGGAAATAGTTTTCCTAGCTTTTTGGGAGGAAAACAAAGAAATAAAATGTTAATGAGATGAGATGAGTTGTCACAATCTTATTGAATCATGTGAGTGATTTAAAAATATGAGATGGGATGAGTTGAGTGATGTTGTGGATAAAAATAATATTTTATTAGATGTGGTGGATGTGATGGATGAGTTGTTGAATGAAATTAATATTTTATTAGATGTGGTGGATGAGTTGTTGGATAAAAATAATATTTTATTAGATGTTGTGGGTGAGTTTTAGGGATAAAAATGTGTGAAATTATACTTTTTGAGATTTCTTGGTTTTCATTTCTATTTTTTGGTTTAGGGTCTGTTTGTTTGCTAAAAAAAATGAGAAATGTGTTGCCACCTCAACTTTCAAGAAATGTCCTATGTGCCACATAGGTTTTTGTTTTCATGAGGTTTCCATTTCAAGTGTTTGTTTCGTTTTTAATTTTTAAGAAATGAAGTGCCATGTAGGATGCCACCTCACATTTTCAAGAAATGTGTTTTCACAACAAAATGGGCTGAAAACACTTGGAAATGTCCCATCTGAGAATTATTAATTAATAAAAGCACTGTTTATGAGGTTATGAAGAATAAAACATATTATTTAAATTGGTTTTCTCTCTTTTCATTATTCTTGTTCTCAAACAAACAAAAGAAATGGAAATGTCCAACACTGTTACTATGGAGGCTTTTTTTGTTTTTTGTGTGACTTGGCAGTGAAAAGAGGAGTTTTCTTTGCGAAACAAACAAAAGAAAAGAAAACTGTGAAATGTCTTGAAATGTCATAAAAGCATTTGAAATGTGACATTTCCATTTCCCTTTTTTTGGGGAAATAGCCAAACAGGCCCTTATTAGGAAATAACCAAACAGGCCCTTAGCCAACCAAACAGAATTGAGATCCTCTACTCATGCATAGTGATTCCTAATATTTGCTAATGCATCTCCACCTTTTATTTTGTGGACCCCACCTTCCACTTTGTACTTGTCCACAAAATTAAAGGTGGAGATACATTAGCAAATATTAGGAGGTACTATGTATGAGTAGAGGATCTCAATTCAACCAAACAATCTCAAAACAAATTTTCTTACAAAATCACCCATATTATCTAATAATAATGTGACAACTCATCTCCAATTCTTTGATTTCCTTCTTTTTTAGCCAACCAAACAATCTCAAAACATTTTTTCTTAGAAATAGTTTTCATATTCTTTAATTTTCCTCTTTTTTAGGCAAACAAACAACCCCTAAAAAGACATGATTAGTAATGTAAAACACACAGAACTATTGGTTTAGTATCATTCATTGAGTCAAACTTTAGACACCGATTTTATCCTTAAAAAAAAAGAAGGTTTTCATAAAAGGCCAACAAAAAGTTAAATTTTAATTTAACTATCAATTTATGGATTTCGAATGTCCAAATTGTAGTGAGACAAATATTGTTTTAAATGGTTACTTTTGGCACTTAAGCGTAATTTCAAAACACAAAATGTTAGGATCATTCATTTTTTTCGGGTTAAATATAATCCTATCTTAATTAAAAATAAACAAGATTAAACTGCTCTTTGTTGACAATAATATGAGGTCCCCCCTTACCTTTAACTCATCTCCCTTTTCAACGGCCAGCAACCCCCAATCTAAGAGAATCGGGCATAGGGGTACATCCGTCATTTCCTCTCCTGTATAAAAATTCTCACCATCATCTTTTTTAGCAGCCACTGAGAGAGCTGGATGAACAACAACGGACCATGGCAAAGGGTAGCTTTTGCTTCATCTCCTCCTCCTCTCGGTGAGCTCACCTCTGTTATTTTCATTTATTTATATCTTAAAGAGGTCAAGAAGTAATCTGTAATGGATTTTTTGATAGATTTTTGTTGGGTTTTTTGCCCCTTTTTTTTGCTTCAATATGTTGAGTTCTTAAATGGGTTTCTACTTTTGATCTCTTTTATTGTTCTTTCTCAAGTTAAGAAGCATGCCCAGTTTGGTAAATATGGGAAAGATGTAAAAAAAGTAAGAAAATTGGTTTTTGATGATCCGAATATTGAACTATTAATAGTAAGCAAATGGGTTTTTGATGATTAGAATATCGAGTTATTAATGATATCCTGATGGCCCTTTTAATTTTAGGGGATATTTTGATGGATTGTTGCGTCTCTAAAAGATTTTATTCTCTTTTTTTTGTGTGGAGAAGCTAGGCCCAGTTTAGCAAATGTGTAAAGGGCTTCACTTGGGGAAAAAAATGATTTTTTTTGGTGATGAGAAAATTCATTAGGTGTTGTCTGATGACCCACTTCTTGTTACTGCCTTTAAGGGATTCTTTTATGAATATTTCTATTTCTGATGATTAAACTGAAGTGGTTGGTATGGCTTTCTTAAACATAAAAAGGGTGAAATTTTCAGGTAGAAATGATTTGATGAAAGTTTGCTTCTTAATTTCAGGGGAGGTTCGTTATGCCCGAAGGCCTACCCCTTTCTTCTCTTTGTGTTTCCAGTGATGCTTTCTCTGATGATGTTCTTGCCTTGTGAAGCAAAGGATCAAATGGATGGATTTCTGAATGCTTTATTGTACGCTGATGGTTGTGAGAATTTCAAAGATTTTGATGGCTCTGTTGAAACTAAAGCAAGTTTTCCGTGCTACTTTGATATCAAGAATGTGTGTTCTCAGTCGACTTCCTTGTGCTTTCCTTCTACCTTGATTGGCTTAGGAACAAAATTTGATGGATCACATTCAGAAAAGTCAAACTTTGATGTGGGCAAAGTTGGTTTTTGTGAAAGGTCACCTCTGTCGGATCTAAATCCAGTTGTTTTTTCTTCAGGATCTTTATGGCCACCTTATGTGAAGATGAGTCCTCCTTCGCTGGATTGGGGAACCAATAGTTTGCTCACCCCCTCTTTAGTTTACTTGGCTTTAGCTAACTTGCATAATAGTAGCGTGTTACATGTCTTTGAACCATTTAGTTCAGATGGACAATTCTATGCTTATGGCTTTGAGAAGTTTTCATTGGCTCCTGGTGAAGCTAGTTCAATTGCTTTTGTTTTCTTGCCTAGAAATTTGGGTTTGGTTTCAGCTCATATTGTTCTTCAGACGAGCTTTGGAGGTTTTGTTATCCATGCCAAAGGAGTAGGTATTGAGAATCCTTATCGAATTGATCCATTTGGGGGATTTGAGCTCTTGGCAGATGGAAGATTGAGTTGGAACTTGTCTTTGTACAATCCTTTTGATGATGCACTATATGTTGAGGAAATTAGTGCAAGGATTTCAATCTCCTCAGAAAATGCTAGTCATACTGAAGATCTTATATGCAACTTTGGTTCTTTTTGCAAGAATAGCCAACAAGAAGTCTCTTGGATTGAGATTAGACCTCATAAGCAAGAACTGCAGCCTCATAACACTGAAATAATCACGAAATTGAATTTGTGGCCTCCAGTTAAAGGCAATATTTCTGGAGTTATTTGCATTAAGTTACAGAGGTTTACACGAGACAAGTTTGATATGGTGGTAGTTCCCCTTGAGGCTGAAGTGGATAGTAATCCAACTTATTACTCTTTAACGGGCTCAGTCTCAGTGTTTTTTGAGTCTCTTGTACCGTATGATGGAAGGGGATTTGTGGGTACTGTTTCTGTAAGAAACCGAGCATCTTATTTATTAAGTGTGCTGAGCATTACAGAAAATTTAGAAGTTTTTGATATCAAATACATGGAGGGTTTGTTGCTGTACCCTGGTACTATAACGCAGATAGCTTTAGTTAGTTATGATCTTCCTGATGTTTCGGAGCATATACCACCAAAAGTTCCTTGGTTGGATCCTAATTGTAGACTGTCTTTATTGACCAATGATTCCATCAGTCCGCAAATCGTGATTCCTTGCCAGGGCTTAGTAATTGGGTCAGGTTTTATAGAGCCTGCAGTGTTGTTGACTGGACCGAAATCTCAAAACCAGAAGCTATCAAATGCAAGGACTGAATCTTTGGAAAGCATTATTGAAGAACCACTTCCACTGGAGGTACTTTTTCTGCTTTTTAAAAACCGCAACTTTTTTGTGATCAAAGCATCATTCATTTTCCATGTCCTGATATTGAGAAATCAATTTGTTATATTCTCATTTGCTGTAGTGTTGTACTCTATAAGGTTATTAGATCCCTTTTTCCTTTTGACTCACTTGAATCTAGAGAACATTTTGCGTTTCTTTACTGCATTGCTAATTAGTCGCTCGCGCTTTCTCTCTGACATGCACGAAGTGCCAAAAATTATAATTTCTCATGTGGAAATCATTGTGGTTATTTACTTATTTAGAAGACATATGTTCCAGATAAAATTGAGTAGAGTTGTCCAGCATACATCTTAGCAACTGCCAACACTAGGTTGCCATGAGATGAAAAGATTGTTCAATGGAGTGGTATCCATTTTTCTACCCTAATATTAGGATTTACTTGATATGTATCCCAAGAACTGTGCATAATATTGATTTAATGAGACCCCTCTAGCTAGGGAGGGGTGGGAGCTATTGCCATCATCAATAAAGTGGTGGCAGATGCCTTAGTATTATAGATTATAGATCAAGCTTTGATTCCTTTTCTTGCAGAATTCTAGTCTCTTAAAAGAATTTATCTGTTTTCTTTTTCGAGAAATGTTCAGTTTTACTTTTTTCCTATTAACCAAGTGTCATATTTTTGTCTATGTCTAGAGCAACTAATTGACATAGTATTCTATTCCTGCATGATATTTACTTTTCGTATGTTATAAGTATCTGTTCTCATTCCTCTCTTCAAATGACAGTTGTCCTTAGCTCTAACATGCTGTATTTTCCATGTTCTTCTATTTTGTTTATACATTTGCAGTTAAAGTTTATAGAACTACTGGAAGCAGATAGATTAATACTTAGAAATTGGAGATCACAAGGTACCATGAGCAAGTTGTCTGTGCTTAAAGACCAGGAGTTGCTGTTTCCAACTGTTCAAATTGGCACTGAGTTCTCTAAGTGGATCACTGTGCACAACCCTAGTCAAAAACCCGTTATAATGCAACTTGTATTGAACCCAGGGGCAATAGTTGATCGCTGTGAAACTCCTGATGATCCGTTCAGACCTCCCTTATTCAAAATCACTTCTTTGGAAATGCAAGATGGGTTCTCAATACCAGAACCAATGACAACAGCGGCCATTGTGCATCCTTTAGAAAGTGCTCAAATTGGCCCAGTGCTCTTTCGTCCCTCAAAGCAATGCACTTGGAGAAGCTCAGCTTTGATAAGAAACAATCTTTCAGGAGTAGAATGGTTACAAATTCGAGCTTTTGGTGGATCATATTCGCTTCTTCTACTCGACGGGTCTGAACCTGTGAACAAGATAGAAATCAACCTTAGCAAAACCTCACTCTTGTGGACAGTGATGTGGAAACTATTAGCAGTGATTTTTATAGCTTGTTTGGTGTTCTTCGTTTTCCTGCATCCTCTTGATTCAGAAAGCAAAGAGTATTCTGTTAAGAATGAGAAGCCCATTGCAGTCAGCAGGACTGAGAAACCTTCTCGTGTTCACAGAAGCACAAGAAATGCCAGGTTAGTTTTGGCACAATTTTACATAAGTTGTTTATTGTACAATTTGCTACTATTGCTGGTTAATGAATGCAGTTGATACAAAATTTCAGGTCCATAAAGAAAAATGAAAAACTTGAGGAGGGTCTGCGGGTTGATAGATATCCTTGTTTTGAACATACTGCTCAAGAAAATACTCAAAGGGTAAAGGAGAGGATGGATTCTGATCATCAAAACAAACCCACAATGCAATCCCCACTGCCTACTGAAATATCAGAATCACCAGAAACTGGTAATCTTACAGTGAAGGTTGTGAAAGAAAGAGGGAGGAGGAGAAAGCGAAGGGTTAATGGAGGAGGAATAGCATCAAAGTTCGAAGTTTCAAGTAGCCAAAGTGGAAATTCAACACCATCTTCACCGATGTCTCCAAATGCTTTCACTCCAAATTCTTCTTTTAGTTCACAAAATCACGAGAAGAAACAAGAGTTGAGTTTTTCGGAGGAGCCGAGAGTATCAGAACCTCAAAAGAATGTTGGAAAGCCTGTTCTATTACACTCTGCTACTTTCCCAAGTACTTCACTCTTTTTGGCCTCTTCTTCTCCTATAGCTCCATGTGCACGTGCTCCGGGTTCTAAGCTTAGTAAGGAAAAAGGAACGAAAACAAAGGAAGATGTTGCTTTTGGAAAAGAGTATGTTTATGATATTTGGGGTAATCACTTTTGTGGTCTTTTAATTGGGAAACCAAAGGAGCTTTCGTCGAAGGTGTTTGATGCTTCAAAAGGTGACTCGCAAAGTTTCTTCACAAGTGATCCTCAGTCCCTCATGATGATGTCATCGGCACGATCTAAATCTTCAGGTCATCAGTTGACCCCTCCTGATGTAGATTACCTTTATGAAAAAAAGTAGTTCAGTTTCTACTAATTGGTGCTTTTGCCATGAAGTTTAAGTTTTTTGCTCATTTTCATTTTTATTCACGTCTTTCTTTTCTTTGCTTTAAAGGTATCCGATTTAGTTTTTCAAAAGTTTGTTTTTCTGACTCCGCAATGCCCGTATTATAGAGAGCTGTTTTTCCTATTATTCTTTCAAATTAAACTTATTTTCATATTAGACTTATTAATCCATCAAATCTTTAAATTTCCTTATCAGTTCCTCAACCAAACTAGCCAATCTATTTTGAATTTCTATATTAGTTCTTCAAATCTTAAGATGTTTCTCTTCAATAATCACATAAAATGATTTTGTTCTTTATCATAAAGGGTTGTATTTTAGAAAATCGATTTAGTTGTGAAATATATTTGAGATAAAAATTGGCTGTTGTGATGATATATTTTGGGAGGGAATGTCCATTCGGTCATGGTAATCAGAAATGACATATTTTTATATTTGTGATTTAATCTAGTTATAGGAACTAATTTAGTGTAGATTGAATTATTTGAGAGGTTAATTAAAGTACAAGATTAATATGAAAATTGCTTAATTTGAGGACTTAATATAAAACCCTGAGAGTTATAGACACAAATATAAGAGTCAAATGCAAACATAGATACATTATGTTGATTGCAACAGCATTCCAAAATCTAGTCAGGAGGACACATAAGTATATGTATTTGATTATTGTTCATATAGACAAGGTAGCTAAAGTAGTAAAATGGTCTATAAAACAAAGGGATCATAACATCATCTTGTATATATTTTTGAGGTTTACATGTTTGTTAGTAAACAACATATGGATTTATATATCATGTCTGCTTGTGTCAGATATATCAATTTTTGGTAGGGTAAGTACCATCATACATTAAAAAAAAACACTGAACCTTATTGTCAATGATGTTTATTTAATATGCCTAATCTCGCCCATTCACATTGTAGTTTCATGCTGTGGTTTTTTTTGGTTAGTATTGTTTTAGTTATCCATATTTCCAAAGAATCCTTATTATTCATGCCTCATCTTATAGTGCATAACGTTTAGTTTATGTGTGCGCAGAAATTGAATAGGAGGAGGAGAAGAATTATTTTTATTAATTTCTCCAATTTACATTTGGCTGCTAGGGTTCTAATTTATAGATTTAACCTACCAAAAATATCTCCTTAAGAATAGGAGATGTACAGCTATGCAACAACTTTCCTATAAAATAGGAAACTAAAGAATATGAAAGTTACCAAGAAATAAGTAAAAATAAATCTTTCTATTTCTACACCCCCCTTAAGTTGGTGCATAGATATTGCTCATGCCCAACTTGTCTACGAAAGATTCGAATTTAGGCCTGAAATGGCCTTTGGTAAGCACATCAGCTGTTTGTTGTTATGAAGTAACAAAAGGCATACAAATAACCATATTCTCCGACTTTTCTTTAATAAAGTGTCTATTGATCTCAATGTGTTTAGTGCGATCATGTTGGATTGGGTTGTTTGCAATACTTATAGCTGTTTGTTATCACAGAATAGCCTCATTGGTTCCTCAATTCCTAGCTTCATTTTTTCAAGTACTCTACCAATCCATAGTACTTCACAAACTCCATTTGCCATAGCCCTATATTCTGCTTCAGTACTGCTCCTAGCAACCACATTCTGTTTCTTGCTCTGCTAAGTAACAAGATTTCCCCATAAGAAGGTACAATAACCAGATGTTGACCGTCTATCAGACACGGATCCTGCCCAATCTGCATCTGTGAAAACTTCTAAACTTCTATGATCACCCTTTTTGAACAACAATCCCCTACCAGGAGAGCCCTTCAAATACCTGAGGATTTTGTACACTGCTTCCAAATGCTCCTCATATGATGAGTGCATGAACTGGCTCACCACATGGACAACAAAGGCAATATCCGGTCTTGTATGAGATAAGTAAATAAGTTTCCCTACGAGGCGTTGATATCTACCTTTGTTGACTGGAGCCCTATATGTCACCTCTCCCAATTTCTGATTAGGATCCATAGGCTTATCACTCGGTCTGTAGCCACTCATTCCTGTCTCCTCTAGCAGATCCAGAACATATTTCCTTTGAGACACAGAGATTCCCTTCTTTGACCTTGCAACCTCCATACCCAGGAAATAGCGTAGTAACCCCAAATCTTTAATTTCAAATTCCGAAGCTAGGCACTTCTTCAACCTACTAATCTCTTCATCATCACTCCCAGTGAGAATTATATCATCCACACAAACAATCAAGACTGTCATTCTTCCACTCTTCGTGTGTTTCACGAACATAGTATGGTCTAATTGACCTTGAGTATATCCCTCCTCCTTAACAAACTTAGTAAACCTTTCGAACCAAACACGTGGAGATTGCTTTAGTCCATAGAGCGATTTTTTCAATTTACAGATCCTTCCTCTAAACTTCTCTTCAAACCCAGGGGGTGCATCCATATAGACTTCCTCTTCTAATTCTCCATTAAGGAATGCATTTTTAACATCAAGTTGATACAATGGACACTCTAGATTTGCAGCTACCGAAAAGAGAACTCTGATAGTGTTCAATTTGGCTACTGGGGAAAACGTCTCCTGATAATCCACTCTATATGTTTGCGTGAATCCTTTTGCAACAAAGCGTGCTTTATAGCGCTCCAAGGACCCATTAGAATTGAACTTTACAGTGAACACCCACTTGCAGCCAACAATCAATTTTCCTTCAGGTAAATGAACCATCTCCCATGTTCCATTCTTCTCCAGAGCCTCCATCTCTTCATGAACAACCTTCTTCCATTCAGGAACCTTTAGCGCTTTCTGTATAGACTTAGGTATTTCCACACTTGACAATTGCGAGACAAAAGTATGGTATGATGATGACAATTTCTTATATGACACACAATTTGAAAGATGATGCTGAGTGCATGATCGAATTCCTTTCCTAAGAGCAATTGGAAGGTCTAAAGAACTAGGATTCATATTCTCATTTTGAATAGGTAAGGACTCAGACTCTAATAGACTCAGAGTTTGTACCTATATTCTCAGTGTCTGTAGTTCCTGGATCTGGACACGGATCAGGCTCTTGACCTTGCAGAAGTATGGTTGTATCTCTCTTACTTCGAATCCGTCTTTCCTTAGTGTAAGTTTTCCCAAACAATCTCTCATCATTGAAGCGTGCTTCATCTATTGTTCTTGCATTTTGTTTCGGAATAAGGGTAGGCCTCCATTCTTCCTTATTTAAGGTACCAAAATCCGTACCATTAGTATCAATTTCAAACACCTCATTAGTCTTTTCTTGACCATTAGTATCAATTTCAAACACCTCATTAGTCTTTTCCTGACCATTAATATCAATTTCAAACACCGAGTCTTCATATACTCCTCCCCCCCTGAAGAGGAGGGTTGAAAAAACATTGAGACTCAAAGAATGTAACATCCATTGAAACAAAATATAGTTTTGTTAGGATCAAAACATCTATACCCTTTTTGAATGGGAGAGTATCTTAGAAAAATATATTTTACTGCTCGTGGGTCCAGTTTGTCTCTGTTATGGCTGTTTATATGCACAAAAGCAACACATCCAAAGACTTTTAAAGGTAAATCTGATGTAAGATGAGACATAGGAAAGAATTTTTTTAAAAACTGTCAATGGAGTCTGGAAGTACAACACTCTTGATGGCATCCTGTTAAAGAGATAGGTAGTAGTCAAAATTGTTTCCCCCCATAAGTATTTAGGCACCTTGGTAGTAAACATCAAGGACCTAGCTATTTCTAGGAGGTGTTTATTTTTTTGTTCTGCTACCCCATTTTGTTGAGGTGTGTCAGTACAAGAGCTATGATGAATAATACCTTTTTCTAAAAAAAAATGACCCTAATATTTGATTAAAATATTCTTTCTCATTGTCACTTCGAAGCACTTGGATTTTTGTTTGAAATTGTGTTTCAACCATATTATAAATTTTTTTGAACACACTTTCTGCATCAGATTTATCTTTAAGTACATAGACCCAACATAAGCGTGTATGATCATCAATGAATGTTATAAACCATTTTTTTCCAAAACACGTCAAAGTTCTAGATGCTCCCCAAACATCACTATGGATGAGACTGATACAAGTCGCCGTGCGAGCACCTTTGATCGCGGAATTATCAAAGGTGGGTTGAGAAGAGGATGACAGAAACACAAGAATAATTCAGTATGTGGCGAAGGAAAATATCCTCTAGATTATGATATGAAAAGATTATAATCCCTCTCATAATCTCACTAGAATCGAGAACAAACACGTCAAAATTCTTTCTAAACCCTAATCTCTCTTGATTAGAATCTCTCTTTGATTACATCTGATTTTCTCTAGACCAAAACTGATCTCTTAGACCTAATCTCCTTAGATCTACATCTCTAACAATCTCCTCTGTTTAGAAATCCTAAAACAATCCCTTATATATGTGTAACAACGTGGATGACAAAGTGGTAAATAACCAAGCTCAAACCCCACAGGAATCCGTGTAAACAGAAACCCAAACCAACCAGGAAACCGTCGATGAGTCGACTCATGTGCATATATGAGTCGACTCATGTGCATATATGAGTCGACTCGTGACACATGGGTCGACTCATACAGTGATGAGTCAACTGGTCAGAGATTTTTAACAAAACGACTAAGTTTCATGAGTCGACTTATGACAGGCATGAGTCGACTCAACCTAATGAGTCGACTCAACCTGATGAGTCGACTCATGACTGTTATGAGTCGACTCACGAGTTAAAAACTGGATGCTTCGATTCTTTAATTCGTCGTCTCGTTTCACGCTTTAACCTGCGTTTCACCGTGTTGTTTTACACCTCTATTCTCAAGTTATCATGAGAATCATCTATCCTCAAGCTCCCATGAGGATCGTTACACCTCTATTCTCAAGTTATCATGAGAATCATCTATCCTCAAGCTCCCATGAGGATCGCTAAGTTCCGAAGAGAAGATACACCCTCCTCAAGCTCCCATGAGGATCGCTAAGTTCCGAAGAGAAGATACACCCGTATCATGGGTCCCCCCTTTAACTTGAAGT